AGCTCCTGCAGCACAGGACCATGTGAATGGGCTGCCGACCTTGGACATCATTGCTGTCGAGCCACCCCGGTCCGGACTCCACCAGGTGCTGAATAGTATCCAGCTGGCCATTAAGGCAGGCCCTGTGGAGCACTGACAGACCCTGGAGGGTGAAACACAAAGACATACTACTGTGCTGTTTTAAAGGCAAAAGAGTGGTCACAATAAATGATGCTTTTTTTCCTATTTACTGCACTTCGTATGAAGGTCATTAGTAAATGTAGAGGGGAAAGTAATCGGATGTTTACCATTAGGGCCAGACAAGGGGCGAAGTTTCTAAAAAGGGCCTGGAAGTTCACTTCCTGGTTCAGAGCACACCTGAGTGATAGCAGTGTCGTCTAGCTTTTGTTTGGTGGTTGATCCTGTAAGCTTATTTTAAGTGTGTAAAAAATCATGAATTCAACATGTAAACGTGGATTCATGCAATGCTGTTTTAGTCTATGAAACAAAATATTTGTCTTTTCAGACAGCTTATGTCATGTGAGGAACTAAAAGCTTGGAGTAATTGCTTAGCCACATCAGCCAAGGAAAAAGGTACATCGAGTATTACAGTGGCTATTTTTAAATATTTCATTTTAGTCTTTTGGCACATTATTAACTTACTGTACCCTCCTTTTATAATGTGTAGATTCCAGTCCCTTATGGAGGAGGGAATTGTGGTGTAGTTCAGCAAGGTAGATGTTCCTTATTAATTTTAACCATTAGGTTAAATAGTTTAAATGTTCATTTGTATTTATTTTAATGTTTTTGTTTCATTTAGTGTTCAAAGAGACTACTAGAAAAGCCAGCCTTTTCCCAGGCTTATCACTATCTTGTAGGATGTCATCTATTTATCCAATTATATGGGCCATTTTCCTTTGTTTCTAGTTTTGTTTGTTTGTTTGTTTGTTTGTTTCTGGGCTGTGTTGGTGATACATGCTTACTGTGCGGTTTAGTTCACCTTACTGTAGCTTACTGCACACAGGGAACTTTAAATTGGTCAAATTGTCCGTGGACAAAACACACAGTCTGGGTAGGCTAGGTGATATTAATTCATGTCACCATACTGTAATGGTAAATGAGCCTACCTCCGACTTCTCTGTGCTCCCGGTATCCTCAGCTGGAAATACGTTCCCGTCCGGGTGAGCTCTGAAGGAAACGTTCCTGCCAGAAAAATAATAGCTAGGTTACATTCTAAACTATTAAAGCTACTGTGTAAGGCACAAGAAATAACTTGCCCTACATTCTAAAATAACCAAATATAGCTGTTACTACTGTAAAATATCATAATTTAGCATAACTAGTTGTCGGTTAACATGATGCTTTTCGGCAAGTGAATGTAACGTATAAAATGGCCCATAATATAGGCTAAGCGATCACAGTAGAACAGTTGACATGACCTAAAGTTTAGATTTAGGCTTTGGGCATAGAAAAACACATAAAACCTTTAAATATTATTAACGCCAATCACCTGTTTTTACATCTCCCACGTATCGGTTTTCCGGATTTGTTGACAGGTTCCATGGTTGCCATGGAAATGTGGTCATCAGGTAGCAAGTCTTGGTTTACGGCCGTCGTAAACAAATAAAACAGGCTTTTGTCGGTCAGCGCTGGAAGAAGTGATTTATTCAGTTAAAGTAAACTGAACGTTACTATTATTAGTAGTAGTAGCTGTTATATATTTTAAAACACATTTATGATATAAATTGCTACTGGATTGTAATTCTGATACTGTTTGGTCGTTTAATTTCTAACAATGCATCATATTTTAAGATCTCATGTTTGATGTCTGAAATCTCAGTCTGTAAAGTAGCTTCAACTACTCTCTCAAATATATGTAGGTCTAGTGCAGTAAAAAGTACAACATTTCAGTTGAAATTTAATGGAGTAGCCAATTAATAACATAGAATGCCAATGCTTAAATACACAAATACCTCAAAATTGTATTTTAGTACACTACTTGAATGAACAAATGACTATATATTTAATATTAGCGTATTATTAGTATTCACATCCTTAAGTAAAAGCAGTACTAAAATAGCCTACTCCGTTACAAGTAAAAGTCCTCCATTGCAAATGTTAATTATGAGAAAAATGTACTTTAAGTATAAGAGGGTAAAGGATCCAAAATACAAAACAGTGGCCGATATGAGTAATTTATTTGATTACTTTTATTACTGATGCAATAATGTGTAATTTGAATTATACTATTGCATGCAGTTGGTCAAAACTGACCTAATTTTATAACTCATGTATTAGTTTAATATACTGTACATCTTTAGGCCATATTTCATAAGATTACTATATTTTTTTCATATAAAATCTTAATCTGTAAAGTAACTAGTTCATTAAATATATACATGTTCTCTCTGAATTGTACTGAAGTAGCCAAATTGAAGTAAAATATAAGTACCTCTGATTTGTACACGAGTTAATACACTTAGTTACAGACCAACACTGTAAAATGTCTATTAGGAATTCCCTAGCCATATTTAGTTTTTTTTTTTATGTAATTAAAAACTGAGGAAGATTTAAGTTTAGAGTGTTTAAAATAAGTGGGCACCTTAATATCCCACTTCCTTATTTAGCATATTTTGCAACGTGTTATGTCAGAGTCAGTGTTGCATTTTGATAGATTAGGTAAACACTGACAGATACAGGCAGATGATGGCTGCAGGCATGGCAGAAAAGGATACTTCCACCTTCCTAATATAGAGCTCACATCTCTCTCCTCATACATCCCCATTGTGCCTCTATAGACAGTGCATTAGGACTGGCTGCTCACACTTGGCCTGAGTAAAGTAGATCAATCGTACCAGTGCGGTGGAGACCCCAGAGGGCCCATTTGTTCCACCCCACACTGGACCTGCCACAATGTGTAAGGGAAGAGTTATATTCTCCATGTCAGTGTGGGGCAGAGGGGTTGACGATCCCATCAGGCAGGGGCTTCGCTGATTATAGCTACTGACCGCTTGACCCCTGAGCGAACTATGTGTGATGGACTGCAATTCAAAGGGCATGTACATGTGGAAATCAATGTGTATGGCAGAAACACTGTAGTATGAGTTTACAGTGCCATTTTATTTTATTTTTATTTTTTTGGCATGATTTTTCTTCTTCAGCCACATTGACTTGGTAGATATGGTCAGTGTTTACCTAATCTATCAATCAAACTATAAATCAGCTATAGCCATAATAAGTTATGACCCTGGTTTTATTCTATAATGCGTCTGTTTCCAACTCAATATTGAGACACACTCAGTGGTTTCTCTAAATATATGCGTAGGATAGTGAAGGGTGGGAAAGAAGACAAACAGCTCTGCAGCATATTCATTTTTCTTTGGTTTTCCTTTTTAGTTTGTGAATTTTCTTGTTGCTGAAAAGATGGGAAAATCACTCTGTGGTTCAATGATAGGCCTTTGTAAATGTATAGGTTTCCAAATAAAAAGGTTGGGCACCCTTGCATTAATGGACAGTAACTCACCACTATATCCATTAACTGGCTTTCATTTTAGCCTTGCAGCTTGCTTGCACCTGTAAATTGTTATTCCATTCTTTAACTTGGGACTTTGCCTTTTATTCTTTCATTTGTTGTCTGTTAAATTGAGCAGGATGCAGTGGGGGTACAAGGATGGGCCAGAGATCCCTGGCTTCTCACTTAAAACTCCAACCTCCCCGGAGCCTTTGCCGTTATCACAATCTCCAGCTACTTGGGTGACCCATGCATGTGTGCACAGAAAGAGTGAGTATCTGTAATCTAATTTATTGAATGTGTGTCTGAGTTATTGTTTTATTTTTGCACTGAATCTATTTTATTTTAGTTTCATTTTCGTGATTTTGTTCTGTCTCTGTAAAGTACTTTGGTCAACTGGATGTTTTTAAAGTGCTATATAAATAAATTTGATTTGATGTCAACCTTGTGTGTGTGCATATGTGCACAGTAATGTGTATACAGTGTGTGTGTGTACATAAGTGCAGGTTAATTGTAAGAGAACAGACCTCAGTCACGTGCTGTGGAAGCGTAAGATGTCTTCTGTGCAGAGCTCTTTCATGTTTGTCTCTGAGCACAAGTCCCAGGACAACGACTTCTTTGTTTTGACAGTCGTGTGTGACTGTAAAATGCAGCCTGTATGTCGGTGTTTGCTCCATAGAAGCTCCAAAATCCTAAAAGCTTTCCTATGTATGATGGCCTGAAACTCAATTGGCAAGAAATATAGATTAAAGCAACTATTTATGTGAATGCGCATTTTCAGTCACATCTGCATACGGCTGCCTACTGGGCTGTGTGTATTATGCTATTATAATATACGTCTTGATATATGTCTTTGCGTCTGTGACAATGGAAGATGTGTTTTTGAACATGTTCACACACGCTCCACGAGTTTCATCGTCAGTTTCAACATGTCTGTTAGGCCATATGGCTCACATGATCTGTGAGATGTGTGAATGTGTGCATCACATTTTATATTCTCTCCCAAATGAATCAAATGTGATCTAATTTGAAAATTTGTGATTGCAGTCACATGCTCTTTCACATGATGATAGCTGTCTGCCTTCATCGAGTTTTCAAGTGTGTATTCCATAATGTGCATTTTTTGTGTGTTTGAACGCCCTCAGGGAGGGAGATAGGACCCATAAACCGGGCCATGAGCATGCTCAGTGTTGCCTTTTGTAGTTGGGTGAGGGCATCTCCAGATGCTTGACCTGGGGTCACAATTGCAATTGTGATCAAGGTGTGAAAAGACGTCTGGGTATGAGAAATGAAGTTGAAATCACACCCTGGACTAGAGTCTGGCTCCTCTGATTCTCAGGTGTCCTCTCACCTCTGATAATGTTAATGTGCAGGGAAGAGAGCAGATCTGAAAAGATTCTGAGAGGGTGTTTCTATAAAAGCAAAGGACAAAGAGAGGATGTTAAAGGGAACCATTGTTTTCTTTCCCCTTTATCTTCTCAAAGACCAGTAGTTTTGAAAGCAGTGAATCAATTCTCCTGGGAACCTGGGGAGGTGCAGACAGTAGCATCTGTATGAACATACAACGAAACATCTCCACACATACAGTATATGAATACATAAATCAATAATTAGTGTGAAGAGAAATATGCATATAATTTTTCATGTACTAGAAGTCAGGAATTGTCTCACAGTGAGAACTACCCCTGCTAACTGTCTCCACCTATGTAACTTTCACCTTGAGAAGAGATTTGTAGATTAAAAAAGGGGATTTTTAGTTAGTTTTATTTAATGAGCCAAAATATGAACTATTAGAAGATAAAACTAAGGAGTTTGATTAACATGATAGGAAAGCAAAATAGACTTTAAGCTGCACAAAATTATATTTAGCTCTTTAGAAATGATCCATATCTTTTTTTTTTATTTGTGAGTTGCTGGATAACTTAAAAGTTTCAGGCCTTTACAAATTGTTCAGATAAAACAGGGAGAAATTCAGTTATTGGTTGAGAGGGTCATAATACATAGACATATTCACCTCTAGCAGACACAGTCACAAGTAGACATGGTTTGTTTTAGGAAAGAGGTTGGGGAACGCTGTTACTAAGTGTTAAATCTATATAAAGAAAAACTGAAATTGTTTAGAATCATGCATTTTGAAAGGTTTAGCTTGAAACAGATTTCCTATCAATAACAGCTCAGCCTGAGCACATCTGGATGATCTGCAGATGTTGGTCTCTTCATCCTGCTCATCATCATCAACCTGCTCTGCCCCCGGTCCCTCCACCCTTCAGCAGCTGCTGAGGAACTACATGCTTTTATATCACTGCGATGGTGCTCTCAGGCGGTGAGAGGAAATTACATTTCACCTCACCCACACAGCCAACAACACGGGCTTTTAAAAACCTCCACGGCCCTTCCCTCAGCCGTGTCCTCTCCTATATTACATAGCCAGCCTAAGAGCAATGGTCCCTGCTCTGCTCTGACCTAATGGGCTGTGAAGCAGCGGAGGGAGGCAGGGAGAGAGCTGACAATCTCACCTCTGCATGATTGTTTTTACCTATTTTTAGTTTGAATTCTACAAAAGTGTTTATGCCTTCTAGTGCTAGGTCTGGGTTTTTGCATTTACCCACTGAATGTTGCTAAATATGCAGACTAAATCTAAATCCAGAATTTGGAAACTGTATATACTTTACAGGGGTATATTTATTTTAGAGCTTCAAATCTTAAGCTCCTTTGTTACTCCACTGCAGCCAGTGTGAAAGATTTGAACACAATGCACGCACACATACACACACTGGTACAAAAGGAAATGTTTGAAGCAGCTTACAGTAGATATCTGGCTGTTTTCACACTTGAGGAGTTAAAAGTCGGACTGGGGTCAATGTGAGGGTGGTGGAGAGAGAGCGAGATCTGTGTAGGGAGGAAGAGGTAGAAATGCTGAAAAAAACTGATTAAAACAGAAAAATGAAAGATTATGAGGATGAGTGTAAAAGAGGGCAGAGAGCATGCCTACTCTGTTTCATTAATCCATTAGCTGTGGTTTTTGGCCCTGTTCTGCAACTCTAGTACCTATTGGCTCATATCTGAGTCAGAAGACTGCCAAACAATGAGTATGGTACAGACCTAGATTCTAGTCGGAAGATTTATTTTTATGATATCTGATATGGGTCAGAACTATATTTTCTGTCCTGATGTAGAAAATCTTTGGAAACATATTGGGTTTTGACAGTGTTTTGGCACTGATTTGCTATTTTTGTGCCCTTATTAAAGAGATGGTTTAAAAAGCCCAATAGTGTGTACAACAGTGTTGCTTCCCTACAAAATATAACCTGACCTGGGGTTTAAGGAGAGTATGAAGGGGTCGCTGGACCCTCAGCTGTATGAAGAAACATGCAGGTATATTGATATCTGAGAGGGCAGATGAGCGTTGGAACTAACAATTAGCAGGAACCAACAACAAGTATGACCCATGTACGGAATGAGGCAAGTGATTTGCTACAGAGGTTAATAGTTTTTGAGGGATTGGATCTGGAACTGAACACAATTGGAGACACTGAACAACATCATCATGAATTGGACGATGACTTTGACTCTGAAAAAAAACTTTTTTAAGAATTCTGAAAATAACTGCAAGTATTACACGGATGAGCAGTTTAACAG